ACGCCATGTTTTCGCTATCTTCCGCGATTGGTGATCTTTCGTCTCTGGGTTTGGGGAGCTGGTCGGAGGATGTCGCATCGGACGGAGGTGGAGAGATGTTGGACCAGAGACTCGACCTTGACGCGCTTAGAGCCATGAAAGAGACAAACCCAGTGTCAACAAACAGGCTTCGATCAGCGTGGTTCGGTCCATAAATACCTCCAGTGCGACTTGCATTGGCTGCATGGTATCTTGGTTTGATCTGAGTTGAGTTCCTCGGTTTGATCCCCTCCTGCGGATATCCACCCTTTCCTTCTCCTTTTTCCGTAATTTTTGCTGTCCTGGAGACAGTCGGCCTTATTCTTTTACGTAGTATATATATCTAGCCATCGACATCATGCTACTCCTTTTCCTTTTTGTCTTCATTGTTTCATCGGCCCACGCAGCGAAAGATGTCTTCGCCCACTATCTCGTACGATCAGCCTGTCTACTTTGTTGCACATGACTAACTTAGGCTCCCAGGTTGGAAATGCAGGATCCTTGACCCAGCAGGACTGGGCAGCCGATATACGCTCGGCCAAGGCAGCTCTCATCGATGGCTTCGCTCTCAACATCGCCGAGGACGAGCCGATGACCGCCACTTCCCTCAAAAATGCATTTGCTGCCGCCGAAGCCGCCGACTTCAAGCTCTTCCTGTCTTTTAATCGTGTGGAGTCAGGCTCCTGGTCTAAAGACACGGTGGTTTCCTTGATTCAAGCGCTGAGCAAGTCGTCCGCCTACTTCCACACCCACGGCCGCCCACTTGTCTCGACTTGTGAAGAGTCCGTTGATACACCCGGCTGGTCCAACACTAAAGCTGCCACAAATCGCTTCCTCATTCCTGATTGGATAGCCGATGACGATGACACTGAGGCTAACAGCGCCGTCGAGGGCCTCCTCGATCTTGATGCTTGGTCAACGGGCGAGCCACTTCCCAAGATGGTCAGAAGACAAGTGTTTGTCGATACCACCCTCATTCCCGACGATCTACTGAGTAGCCTCATCGATAATCCGAGTGTGGCTACACCGGACGAACCGGACACGACTATTACTCCACCTGACGATCCCGCGTTTGACTCGCCGGCAAGCACACCGCCGTCTCCAGCTAATTCAACACTGATTCCTCCGGATAACTCAACGGCCACTTCTCCAGACAACACGACGCCATCTCCAGACAATTCCACCATCACTGCTCCGGATAACTCCACCCTCACCTCACCAGGCAACACGAACGTGACGGCACCTGACAACTCCACACTGACCGCCCCCAACTCGACCGTGGTTGATGGAAACTCGACCGTGGTAACAAACACGACTCTCCTCGACGGATCTCCGGCCGCTCTGCCAGAAAACTCTACGCTCCCTGCGGTAGATAACTCCACACTTGTCGTCGCGCCCGACAACTCTACACGACTTGTGCCCAGTTTCACCTTTACAGCTCCCAACTCCGCTACACTGGTTCAACTCGTCCGAGATGCTCCGGCGTCGTTGAAGTCACTGGTCAAAAAGTGTCCGTCGAGACTGCCTCTGTGCCGGCTCTTGGCCAGAGCCAATGCTGGATAGTTCGCTTCCAACTCATTAGATAGTCCAGTCAGAATTGACATTACGTTAGCTATCTATTAGTACTCTACATCCCGTCATGCAGACGCCACATTTTCATCAGTATTGTATCTGCACTACGGATTACATGACGTGTCGGTTAAGAGCCACCAAGTTGCCCCATTACGCCCAAACCGAACTGCCCCGGTTATCTCTGCCACTTGTTAGGCCAGGCAGGAGCACCCAGACAAGATGGAAGGCACGCATGGACCCAGGGCACTGTATTTAGCCAGCCACAGGCTCACTTCTCCTCTTCCACAAAACAAGCATCGTTGCCTACCTGTCTTTCACACTCTTGAAACTGTCGCCTCTGTCGACCAGAAACAGGACTCAAACAGCACATCTGTTCCCATCACCCACGCCACAGGTGCCTCTCGATGCAAGGAACAGAGACCGCGTTCTCGGCTCAATATGGTGGACATTGGACCTCTTGGCCTGCAGCCACAGCGAAGGTTACACTGTGCTAGCATTGAGCGCCCCGTCCGGCGTCTTGGCGAACTGCGAAGAAGAATGTTCACAACGCCGCCTTCAAATCAGATTTCAGGGTACATCAGTGTACAAACAGACACAGCCCCAATCGTCGACCGCTTGTAGTTCCGTGAGCCGTCCTAGAACGGGAAGTTCAGCCCTCGGCCGTTCGTGTCATGGTAGCACAGCTCCAACACGTGGATCATCAACAGCGCCTGAATGGCCCCGGAAACAAAATCCACGTAAATCTAGACCGCCGCCACGGTTGCTCGGGATTGGATGATCGCAGGTGCCGTCGTTGTGTCACCCACCCCGTTGTCAGATCAGGCAATGTCAGTCTAAATATCTGCCACCCTTCGGCGCTGAAAAGGTAAGCCACCACCGAGCCAGCCGCATCCGGGGAGCTACCTTACCCTGCGCGCATTCGTAGGGCTGAGAGTCAAGTCAGGGGTAGCTCTTCTTAAGATGAGCTCTCCCCGGCCGGTCCTCCATAACAAAGCTTTTGGTCTTTTGTCATACAAAAAAGTATTGCTCCCCATCCATTTGACTAGGTACCTACCCAAACGATGCGTTCTTCCGTCATTGCGGCGCTGCTCACGCTGGCCACACCTGTTGTGGTAGTGGCCTGGGGCGGACTTGGACACCGCACTGTTGGCTATCTCGCCGAGAAGCATCTAACCGACGAGGCTAAATCGCTGTTCGACACTCTGCTCGCCAACGATCAAGGCTTTGACTATTCTGATGCGGCCGTCTGGGCCGATGCCATCAAGCAAAGAATGCCGTGGACCCGTCCTCTGCACTTCATCAGTGAGTCCCCGTCATCGTTGTAAGATGTGTGTGTAGGTAACCGAACTGACATCCCTAGACCCCGTCAATGACAACCCTCCCAAGAAATGTGACGTTGTGTGGCCGACTGATTGTCCTGACGAGGGGTGTGTCGTGTCGGCGACTTTCAACTACGTGAGTTTGTGGCTTCGAATACCTTACGTAGATTATACGCGACGTGGAAGACGACGCTGATGCTCGCCCTCATAATACCAGACCTCGATCCTGCTCAACACCGACTCGGACCTAGAAGACCGCAAGAACGCCACCATGTTCGTCATGCACCTGATCGGCGACATCCACCAGCCCCTGCACGCATCCGGCTGGGAGCGGGGCGGCAACGACTTCAAGCCAATCTGCTGGAAGCACTCGCCGCCCTCGGGAGACGACCACTGCACCGGTTCGATCAACCTCCACGAGATCTGGGACAAGCACATCCTCCACAAGCTGCGCGGCCTCCCCATCAGCCTCGACAAGTCGCGCGAGAAGGCCGCGGCGGCGCAGTGGGCCGACGACCTCTTCGGGCGCCAACAGGCAGCTGCTATCTACGCTAGCAGCGAGTGCACCAGACTAAACAATGAGAAGTGCATCCTCCAGTGGACCACGGCGTCGAACAAGCTCGTGTGCAGCAACGTGCTCAAGCGCGGCCTGAAGTGGATGGCCGAGAACGACCTGAGCGAGGAGTACTTCGACGACAACTGGGAGGTGGTGGACGACCAGATCGGCAAGGCCGGGTTGAGGCTGGGCGCGTGGATGAACGCCATCGCCGCGGCGACGTCGGGGAGAAATCGCGATCTCTGAGGCCGATGTTTTCCGTGCGAGTTGGAGATCCCTGGCCGCGGTTCCTGTCTTGATATCTAGTTCAAGTACTGTGAAAATTTCGGATTGGTTGGACTGAGTGTGATTGGAAAAGAACTCTGCTAGTTTGTTGGAAACAATAAATCGAATCTTATGGAAGGCGTCTGATAGGGGTGCACCCCCATTTTGATCCGTACGCATCCCCTTGAAGATATATTTTTTCGCCCACTTCCTCAAATACAAGCGTTTCGGTATATTAGCAATGCCGGGAGGGTTGTTAATAAGGGCTTTGCGATCTATCAAAACCTCTTTTTTCCGAAAACAAAGGATAAAAGATGACGACCTAACGCGTTTCCAGGGCGTTTCCAGGGGTGTAGCGAATAGACGTAACGGCCTTGAACCTTTACTTTTCTCTCCCTTTGCAAGTTTTGAACCCCTTATAAATAGTCAATGGGCATTTGGCAAATATATATACACCTTTTTAAATTGATGTCAACAGTAGATTAGATAGTAGTTGGGAAAAACCGTTGTGCAGAGGGGTGCACTCGTAGCAAAAGGGGGGTGCACCCCTCTCAGATAGATGCCTTATGGAATGAGGATTGCTAGATTCTTGCGTTTGATGCCTGCAACTCTGTGAACTATGTCGTCTTCTTGACCCTTACCAGTCTTACATTATCACCCGTCGAAATGCTCCTTGAAGCTTGCTGAGATTCGTCAGTTCTCAGGCCAGAAGACGAGTGATGAATGTGGAGCGCCAGTTCCAAATTTTCAAAAATTTGGAAGTGCCAGAAACCGCCTTGTAGGCAGCCGCACCCACGACACGACCATCTCTCCCCCGAGCAGACCCAGAAAGCACTGCACCCCACCACTCGCCATTTCCTCCAAGTCTTTTGGCCAAACCGAGCTGCGAGGGAAGAGCACATTGACTGCTCGACATTCCATGCAATCCAGCCCGGTATAAAAGAACACGATCGCTCACAACGTAGAAGAAGAGCTCATGACAACGAAGAGAAGATAGGTACTAGTGGAATAGAACCACTGGTGCCCCCTGGGTGGATCGCCATTTGAGTGAGCAGTGCTAGGGATGCTTGTTTTGTGGAAGAGAGAGAGGAAGCCCTCGACTGGCTAAATACAGGTAGTTGTGGTCCGTGTGCTCCTGCTATCCCACCGGGGGTGCTCTTTCCTGGCCCAACAAATGGGTTTCGGGCCACAAACAGAAGCCACATCCGCTTGTGATTTTCCCGTGTTTCTTTATATACCGGTCAAGGCTGTAACTTCGGAGTCAAAACAAAGGCCGTATGGTGTAGTGGTTGCATACTTGCTTTGGGTGCAAGTGGTCCCAGGTTCGAGCCCTGGTTCGGCCCCGTGATTTATTTTTTTAGATTTTATTTATTTTTGATTTGGGTGGAAGCATATTTGTAGTTGCGAGGTTTTTACGGTAACGCTTTCTTTGGCAGTTCGCCTGTGAGCTCAGTATGAGATCGATGTGGAGTGGTATAAAACCCTGGAGCCCGCTGAGCATGGATTCTGGCATACTGATGAGCAGGACGTTTCTATAAATCCGGAAGTGTTTCTCTCCATAACCTTCATAACGACAGCCTAACGCAAAGACTATAAAGTGACAACAAATTACAACTCTATTCCCTTCCCAGCTTTAAACGTGTAGTGTATCAACCTCATAGGACATAACTCATTCCATCATAACGACATCCCAAGAAGAAAAACAGAATAATGAAGCAAGAGAGTTGCCGAAACAGATCAAAAGCCAAACGCTTGCTCTCCAACCATGCTAAATGCATCGCTAATGGCAAAAACCAAAGCAAACCGAGACACAACCCTCATGCGCGACGAACCTCCCCAATGATCCTGCCGCCTGCCTTGCTCACCATGTACCCGCGATCCCGACTAGTCCAGACGTAATTGACGTCCCTATACAAAGATCAGGTCAGGTGAGCGCGGCACAGATGGAGATATACGCACGATGAATCGCTCGAATCCGACCCGGAGGTGGACGAGCTGCCCGTGACGGTTGCCGACAACGTCGAGATGGCGCGGTGCATCAGCCGGACCACGAGCCAGACGGCGAGGATGGCGAGGACGATGATGGTGAAGAAGGCGGCAAAGACGTTCAGAGCCGTGGCTCGCGCCGGGAGGTCCTCGTCGTCACGGCGGATGAGGAGCGGGAGCGGGAACCCGAGCGCGCCGGAGGGGTGCAGCACCAAGCACAGGATCAGATTGCACGATGTCAGTCCATTGTGCAGCATTATCCCCTGCATTGCGATGCCATTGGCTAGCGGGGTTTGTTGTTCCTGCAGATGGTGTACCGAGACTGCTGCAGGGCCGGTGCGGCGCTTCCCGGCGTGCAAAGGATCCAGGTCCACGGGGAAAGAATTAAGGATTAAAAACGAGCGAAGGGTCGAATAGGATGGGGAAAATCGTTGACGGGAGAACCCAAAACATGATGGGCTTGAGCAAGAGCGCACCCGCCATCATCTTATGGCTTCTACCCCTTGTCTCGTGTGTTTTGGTATGGCGCGTTCGTTATAGGTCGCTCTGTTTTCGGGGACGGGGTGTCGCGAATGGCGGGAATTGCGATTGTTGTTGTTGCCCTTGGCGGCCGGTGATAAGGCGGCAAGGAGCCAATCCTGTGGGTTGGGTTATTGTGTGGCATAATTCAGAATTCGCTTAATATGCGGCCTCGTCCCATTTGCTTCAGCTCGACCAAATTCAACCGTCTGGATAGGTGCGCACGCGCTGGGGCCCTGGCGCCGTAGCTTTGGGCTATGATGACCTGCGCAGGAGACGCGGTGGCGTGCAGGAAGACTCCACCGTATATGCAGGTGTCTTTGTTTGGGCATAGGCGCGACCGACTCGAAAGAAGCCCAGGATATAAAATGAAGCCTCTCGGAGATCTGGCGGTGAGCCCGCGGCGGGTTGAATATTGACGAAGAATATCGATACCATGGAGGACCACGTCCGAACAGAGCAAAACCAAAACAAAACGTCTTCCTCTTCGAAGCAAACGCGATGGTTGAATTAGTAGGTGTAAGTGTTATGACGACACATATGGCTCAGTGTCTCTCATGATATAAACCTCTCCAACTAGCACCGCACATCCGATAACCATAGAGATGGCGATAATCGGAACGTTGAAGCGCGCGAAATCCCGGGCCCGTATGTGGATGTGCTTCCTCCCGAGGATATCACGCCAAAGAAGACCGGCAAGGGAGGCGCTGAATGCTATGCTGAAAGCACCGTAGTTGACGCCAAGGGCCATGCTATACACAGTAGCCCAGAATGTCCTGTTGGAAATCGGTATTCCGTTGTGTTCGTGGATAGCAACCCATGACTGCAGCACCCGGCAGATGAGAATCGTTGTACCGATATTAGTGCCCGCGAACTATCCGTCGTTAGTGACAAGTCTTCTTCATAAATAGGGAATCATACGTTGCAAAGCAGAACCGACACGAATCCCATGCCGCCAATGGCGCCAACAGTTCCCGTCCTGTTGACCCAGTGATCCCATCCGTACGCAAAGACGGGCACCCAACCTTTGGTGACAAGTGCCTGGACCAAGACGAACATGGTGAACGCAAATGGAACCAGAGCCAGCGGCAAAAGGGACAGCACGGCCGTGGCGGTAGGAAACGTTTTCCTTGACCAGGTCCAGGCCCGTGCAACAAGTGATACTAGCGTTGTCGGTTCAGGTAAGTCTTTCTCAAGAGGGTGCTCAACATCAACGCAACTCTCCTTCCCGGCCGAAGTGTCACTCGGGACCCTTGGCACCTTGCCTACGTTGATAGCATCCCCCTCGAGCCCCTCGGGCGCAGCGGATTGAGACTGCTTCTCGCTCGTTGCATCATCCCTACCGCTGCCTAAGTCTGTTCTGCTTCCAGATTCCGGTACGGTGACACCAGTTTCGGCCGCTCTTTGTGCTCTTGCTTGTTCCAACTCCCGACGGCCATTATGTGCGATCTCGCGCGTCTCCTTCCGGCCGAGCCAGCCGACCGAGATATCCCAGCAAAACATGACGACCGCAGCAGGCAAAGTAACCCAGAAAACCGGAAGCTCCCCGTCTGTTGGCTTCACTGCATTGAGCACGAGGACAACGACGAGTGTTGTCGCAATGATAACGGTTCCGAAGATGGCACTCTTCTTGTCCAGGAAGGGGTGCATGATCTCAGCAAGTTCAATCAGCTTGCCCTTTTCATCGTCGGCGTGTAGGTTTTCTTCCTCTTCTGCCGCACCTCTGGCATACGGGATGCAAGGGTTCTTTGGTTTCTCCGCTCGTATCTCCTCTGGCAGCTCGTGTAGCGTAATCGATTTCGGGATCAGCTTCTCTTGCCGGAAGATGACATAGAGAAGACAGGGAAAGAGGACGATCACCGTAACAACAACCGGCACGATCATGTTGACGGTATAGTCGACAAACCGAACCTGAAAAGCGCCGGCAAGGACGAGATTGGTGGGATTCGACGAAACAAGAATCGCTGAGACAATATTGGCAACTGCAAATTGGGTGAAGACCCACGCTCTGGGGTGCTGGATGTTGCTTGAAACCCTCGTCATGTACGCCAGGAACGGCGTCCCGGAGAGGATGATGGGATCGTTGCCGATGAAGCTCCCGAGGAAGGCAAAGAACGAGTACAAATAGAAGAAGAGCTTGTGGCCACTGTTCCCACCCCAGAGCAGGACTTTGTACGCCAGCCAGCGAATCAGTCCGGATGCGTCAATGGAGATGGCGATGTAGGCGAGGGTGATGAAAAACAACATGATATCGAGCGGGGAGATGTGGTCAGCTCCGATGGTACCGCCCCGCACCTCCTCCCGCCCGATGGCCGAGATGGCAAGCAAGAAGAGGTCTGCGATGAGGGGCGCCGTTACAAAGTTCATGGGGAAGTTATACCGCACGAAGGCTTTCCGTTCGTCATCGGCGCGTCGAGGCCGTCGCCTCAGCACTCTGATGGCGCTCAAGGCGTCGTGGAAGGCATTGTAAGCCCATCGCGGAATGAAAAGGGGAATGTGGAAAGGGAAAAGGACGTTGATGTCTGCATCTGTGGTTAGCAAGTTTTCGCTCGGGCCGTCCGGGTGTTCTGACTTGTCAAAACAAACACGACCAACGTGACAATTGACCTCCACTCCGTGATCCCGCTAGTGTCGAACTTTGAGGTATCCTCGGCCATTTTTTGCGACGCGCACAAGGCGTACAGGCCTGCTGGGAGTCGTGCAACGGCCTCAACGAAGGCGCGCAACCATCTCGTTGATGTATTTTTTGGGTTGAGCGAGGGAAAGCCCACGTGCTGAGACACCGAGAGCACAGTCGATGCCAAGCCGTTCTTGGCGAATACTTGGTGGCGGAGCAATTTTTTAGGAGGGGGAAATAGCCCGGAATGTTCCACCGCCCAGAGCGCCTTGCGGTTCCCCTCGCCAAATACGATTCGGTGGCGACTGCAGTACTCCGGACGCTGCAGGGCGCTGTAAACCCGGCGACCCACTGCGATGAAAACCCCTCTTTGACGACGTTGGGGCGCCAAGCGAGCCTATCGACCTCTGACATCTCACACCTCTCTTCTTCAAACAAAGGGCAGGTATGATGCGTCTCAAGACAGCCACCCGGACATGAGTCGGCGCTGCGCACGGAGCAATCATGGAAAAAATTTCAGGAATTATTTCTACCCAAGCCCGCCACTTTCGCCCAAGTCCTGTCCTACAAAAACCGCTGGTATTTCCCGTTTCCTGTTTGCCCGTTAAAACGCCCTTTCCAGATCCATGCATCCTCGGTAAACTCCGCGACAAACGTCCAACCTTTTGACGCTTCCACAAATGTTGGCCGACACCCACTATCTAAACACTATCGAACAGGAAATGAGAAAGTTGGCTCGCCATGCCACCTCGGTGTCTCGTGGCCAGGCCATCTGTCCTGTGTTCCGCCGCCTCCCGTTCGGCGTTGACGGCGCGGTTCCGCCCTCTTCTGCAAAGGACCTATGACTGTCCGGAGTATCTCAGCTTGGAGACGCTCATCACCAAGGTTTGTAACCTCCTCCACATCAAAGTTGCCCCAGATCAACCTCTTGACGGTCTCGCGGTACTCTTTGCCAAGCGAATCAAGAGCTGCCGCCTTCCGCCGGACAGCGGCAATATCTCTCCAGTTGACCCTCGTCCACAGGCCAATCGACAGGAGGGCCACGCCAAGCCGGTATAAGATCCTGTTCTGTATGCCATAGGTGAACTGCAGCTCGTCTTCAGAAACAACCGAGCCCTCGGACAGATCCATTTCGATGTTCCTGGAACCGCCCAGCTCGACTTGCAGATTGAGGCTGTCCAAGACGGCGGAGACGTCCAGCTCGGTATTCGGTTTCTTTAG